GAGTGTGACTAAGTGTGTGTGTGTGTGTGTGTGTGAGAGAGAGAGGGGGGGAGTGTGTTGCATGTGTGGGGTATGTAGAAAGGTGTGTAATCATTTGTGTACAGGCGTGCACATGAAGGGATGAGAGGGGCTAGAAGGCCGGTGTGGGAAATATTGCTATGAATGTGTCCTATCCGAGCCTGAGTGTTTTGTTGTGTAGCGATGGAGGGTGGAGAAACTGGTTCACCTAAAATACGAATGAAATTTAAACCTTTTGGGGTTTTATGCCCGCTACCACACCAGTAACTCAACCCTCCAGTGACCCTCACTCACACCTTTTACCCGCACCACAGTCTGTTGTGGCTGTTTATATTGTCGGCTCTCCAGGGGAGGTATGCTCTCATCCTCTGTGTTTGTAAAGCACCTAGCACAATGGAGCCCTGATCTTGCTTGGGGACTCTAAGTGCTACCATAATATAAACAATAATAAATATGTCTATCTGAGTTTACCTCGGTTGGTGCTCAGACTGAGCAGGTGAGACCATGGAGTCAGGTAGTTTCCATCCTGGAGGGGCTGAGCCAGCAGCTAAACCAGGTGAGAGAATCCAAGCTGATCATGAAGGGAGGCACACTCAGGAGACACACTCAGGCATGAGATGCACCGGATGATGAATGAAACAGTAATAATGTGACAAGGCAAGGAAGCCCCTGGGGAGCTATTCAACCTAGACTCCAGCAAGAGATAATCCTCCCCCGGCAGGTTAGCGGGTGGTCAGACTCAGGGGAGTAAAAAATGGTTACTCACCTTTGTAACTGTTGTTCTTCGAGATGTGTTGCTCATATCCATTCCAATTAGGTGTGCACGCGCCACGTGCACGATCGTCGGAGAATTTTCTACCCTAGCAACACCCGGTGGGTCGGCTGTGAAGCCCCCTGGAGTGGCGCCTTCATGGCACTGGATATATACCCCAGCCGACCCAGCGCCCCCTCAGTTCCTTCTTGCCGGCTACTCCGACAGTGGGGAAGGGGGGCGGGTTTGGAATGGATATGAGCAACACATCTCGAACAACAACAGTTACAAAGGTGAGTAACCGTTTTTTCTTCTTCGAGTGCTTGCTCATATTGATTCCAATTAGGTGACTACAAGCCTTACCTAGGTGGTGGGGTCGGAGTGAGACATTGCTGCGTGCAAAACCGCTGATCCGAATGCAGAATCGTCTCTGGACTGCTGTACAAGTGCATAGTGAGCGGCAAAGGTGTGGACCGATGACAAAACCGCCGCTCTACAAATGTCCTGGATCGGGACGTGAGCCAGGAAGGCAGTTGAAGAGGCTTGGGCCCTCGTGGAGTGGGCGGTGAGGCGTGGCGTTGGGGCACCAGCCAGGTCATAGCAAGCACAAATGCAGGACGTGATCCAAGAGGAGAGGCGTTGCGAGGAGACCGGTAAGCCTTTCATCCGGTCGGCCACTGCAACGAAAAGTTGCGTCGTCTTCCTAAACGGTTTCGTATGCTCAATATAGAAAGCAAGGGCCCTGCGTACATCCAAGGAGTGCACACTCTGGTCTTGACGGGTGGCGTGAGGCTTAGGATGGAAGACCGGGAGAAATATATCTTGGTTCACATGAAAAGCTGATACCACCTTGGGAAGAAAGGCAGGGTGGGGGCGAAGCTGCATCTTGTCTTTATGGAAGACTGTGTATGGAGGCTCAGACGTGAGCGCCCTGATTTCAGAAACATGCCTTGCTGAAGTGATGGCTACAAGGAAGGCTGTCTTCCAAGATAGGTAAAGGAGTGAGCAGGTAGCCAATGGCTCGAACGGGGGCCCTGTGAGCTTGGAGAGAACCAGGTTAAGATCCCACGCTGGAACAGGTTGGCGTTGGTGTGGGTATAGCTGGACTAAGCCCTTGAGGAATCTGACGACCATCGGGTTAGAGAAGACCGAGGAAGCGTGTTCTCCTGGGTGGAACGCCGATATAGCAGCCAGGTGAACCCTGACTGAAGATATCACCAAGCCCTGCTGTTTTAGGGATAGCAGATATTCAAGTATAAGAGGAATAGACGCCTGCAAGGGGGGCGTGGCCCACTGCTCGCACCAACAGGAGAAACGTTTCCACTTGGCTAAGTAAGTGGTCCATGTAGAGGGCTTTCTACTTCCCAGCAGAATCTGTTGCACGGGATGTGAACATCGTAGCGCTGTCCAATTCAGCCATGGAGCATCCATGCTGTAAGGTGGAGTGATTGCAGGTCGGGGTGACAGAGTCGGCCGTGGTCCTGAGAGATCAAGTCTGGGCATAAGGGAAGTGTGATCGGAGTTTGTACCGATAGCTCCAGAAGCGTGGTGTACCAGTGTTGTCTTGGCCAAGCTGGAGCGACTAGAATCATACATGCCTTGTCTCTGCGTAGCTTGAGCAGCACCCTGTGGACCAGTGGGAATGGAGGGAAAGCGTAGAACAGCTGGTCTCTCCACGATAGGAGGAAAGCGTCCGACAGGGAGCCCGGAGATCGCCCTTGGGAGGGAGCAGAACACGTGGCACTTCCTGTTGGCTCGTGAGGCGAACAGGTCGACCTGGGGAAATCCCCACCTTTGGAAGATGGAATAGATGATGTCCGGGCGAATCGACCACTCGTGCGTCTGGAAGGATCTGCTGAGACGGTCCGCTAGAATGTTCTGGACTCCAGGGAGGAACGATGCCATGAGATGTATCGAGTGGGCAATGCAGAACTCCCACAGGCGAATGGCCTCTTGGCATAGGAGAGACAACCGGGCTCCTCCTTGCTTGTTGATGTAGAGCATGGCCGTGGTGTTGTCTGTGAGGACTGACACGCAACGGCCATGTAGCAGACAGAGAAATGCCTGACAGGCTAGGCGCACTGCCATCAGCTCTCGAACATTGATGTGCAGAGCTAGTTGGGATGCGGTCCACAGGCCCTGGGTATGGTGATCCCCGAGGTGAGCACCCCAACCTAGAGATGAAGTGTCCGTGACCAGGTGCAGGGAGGGTTGTGGGGCATGAAATGGCACTCCTGCGCAAACCGCCTTGTGATCTAGCCACCAGGTGAGAGAGGTCAAGACCGAGTTTGGAACCGTGACCACCATGTTCAGGTTGTCCCGACAAGGATGGTACACCGACGATACCCAGGCCTGAAGTGGGCGAAGCCGAAGTCTGGCATGCCTGGTTACGTAAGTGCAAGAGGCCATGTGTCCCAACAGGCTGAGGCACGTCCTTATTGTGGTGATCGGAAAGACCTGGAGTCCTTGGATGATGTTTGTGATGATGTGAAACCGAGTGTCTGGCAGAAGAGCTCGGGCAAGTCTGGAGTCTAAGACTGCCCCGATAAACTCTATTCTCTGGGTTGACTCCAGAGTGGACTTTTCTCTGTTGAGTAGAATGCCTAAGTCGTGGAATGTTTGTAGTATTATCTGGACGTGAGCTTGAACTTGCTCCCTGGTGCGGCCGCGCACCAGCCAGTCTTCTAGATACGAGAACACCTGTATCCTTTGTCGACGAAGGTATGCTGCCACGACAGCCATACATTTGGTGAACACTCTCGGAGCTGCGGACAAGCCGAAGGGAAGGACGGCAAATTGGTAGTGCACATTGTTTACTACAAATCGAAGGAAGCGTCTGTGCGGGGGGGAGATTGCTATATGAAAATATGCGTCCTTCATGTCGAGGGCGGCGTACCAGTCTCCAGGATCCAGGGAAGGGATGATGGTCCCCAAGGAGACCATGCAGAACTTCAACTTTACTATGAATTTGTTGAGTCCGCGTAAGTCTAAAATGGGTCGCAGACCCCCTTTTGCTTTGGGGATCAGGAAGTAGCGGGAGTAAAACCCCCTACCCCTTAACTCTGGGGCAACCTCCTCTATGGCCCCCATAGAGAGGAGCCCAAAAACCTCCTGTGTAAGGAGATGCTCGTGAGAAGGGTCCCTGAAGAGGGACGGGGAGGGGGCGTGGGAGGGGGGGAACGAAGAAAACTGGAGAGCGTATCCCCTCCCCACCGTGCGAAGGACCCAACAGTCCGAGGTTATAAGGGACCAAGCACGGTGGAAACGGGAGAGGTGATCTCGAAAGAAAGGAAATGGATCCTGGGTAGTGGCTGGCACGCCGTCCTCGAGCGCACCTTCAAAAATTTTGCCTAGGTCCTGAAGGTGGTCTAGGAGGGCCTTGGTTCTGACCGGGTTGGGGGCCGGTTGACCTCCGTCTACCACCTGTCCCCGCCTTCTGGGGACGTCCTGTCTTGGACGAGGAGGAGGAGGAGGGTAGAACCTTTGTGGCTGGGGCCTAAAGGGCCTGTGCTGGGGTCCTGGGACATGCATCCCCAGGGAGCGCATGATGGTTCTGGAGTCCTTGAGGCTCTGCAACCGAGAGTCCGTCTTGTCCGAGAACAACCCCTGCCCCTCGAACGGCAGATCTTGCAGGGTCTGCTGCAGTTCTGGCGGTAACCCCGAAACCTGGAGCCAGGAGACGCGGCTATCCCAGACGCTAGTGTCTCATGGCTATCCCAGACGCTAGTGTCCTGGCGGCAGAGTCCGCTATGTCCAGGGAGGCCTGCAAGGAGGTCCTAGCCACCTTTTTACCTTCCTCCACTAGGGCCCCGAACTCTTCCCTCGAGTCCTGGGGGACCAACTCTTTAAATTTACCCATGGAATTCCATGAGTTGTAATTGTACCTACTCAAGAGCGCCTGTTGGTTCGCAGCTCTGAGCTGCAGACCCCCCGCTGAGTAAACCTTGCGCCCAAAAATATCGAAGCGTTTGCCGTCCTTCGATTGGGGCGCTGCCGCCTGCTGACCATGACGCTCTCTTGCGTTCACTGAGGAGACTACCAGTGAACACGGCGGAGGGTGTGTATAGAGGTACTCATGGTCTTTAGAGGGGACAAAGTACTTCCTCTCTACACCTCTGGCAGTGGGAGGGATGGAGGCCGGGGTTTGCCATATGGCATTAGCGTTAGCCTGGATTGTCCGAATGATGGGCAACGCCACCCTGGTTGGGGCATCAGCTGAGAGGATGCTCACCACCGGGTCCTCCACCTCCACTATCTCCTCAGCCTGTAGGTCCATGTTCCATGCCACCCTACGCAACAAGTCTTGGTGGGCACGGAGGTCCATTGGAGGTGGGCCTGAGGATGTTGTACCCGCCACCGCCTCATCTAGGGAGGATGAGGAGGACGCCTCAGGGGGTAAAGGATCCATATGAGGGTCCGGCTCCAAGGGTCCCTGATGTGCAGGATCCCCTGCATCAGGGTCTGGGGCCTGCGTGGGAGTCGGCACTGGAGCCTCCATGCCCCCTGGGGCAGGACGGGAGATGGTGGCCTCAGGAACCCTGGGCTCAGAGTGTGCCAAGCGAGAGGCCGCTGGTGGAGCCCCTTGGGCTTGGTGATATGCCCATGGGGTCCAGAAAGACCAATGTGCAGGGTCCTGTCTAAGGTCCTCTGCCCCCTCCTGCCAATGACCCAAGTCGTCTGCCGCCTGACCCTGAGCAGGGTATGCTGATCGGGAAGCTCCTTCCGATGAGCGAGACACCGATCTTGAGGGCCAGGGCGGTGCCGAGCGTGGTTGCAGGGGCTCGTCCTGGTACGGTGCCAAGCGGTGCCGGTCCACAGGCGAGCGGTCTCTGCGCGGTGCCGGTGAGCAGTACCGGGATCGAGATCGGTGCCGATGGCCATGCCAGTACCAGGATCTAGATCTGGATCGTGAAGACGAAGACCGTCTGTAGACTCGGTGCCGGGAGCGGCCTCGCGAATGGGAGCGGCGCTCATACCGGTGCCGGGAACTGCGTCTGGACTCCGACCGGTACCGATGCTCAGGTCGGCGCAGAGAAGTAGACCGGTGCCAGGAGGAAGATCTGGGCCGCGAGTACAACCGGCGCCGAGATGAAGATCAGTGCCGGGACTGCAAGCGGCGTTGGGACCTGCTCCGAGACCGGGAGCGGTGCCGCGAGTCCACGCTCGGAGATGGCGGGCGTATCAGGGCAGGCTTGCCCCTTGATTGCACCGTGCGAAGGGGATGCAGTGCCGCGGGCTGAGACGGCGCCGGCTCCGTGAGGGCGATGAGGTCTTTCGCCGTTGCAAAAGTCTCCGGTGTAGAAGGGAGACAGGGCTCAACCATAGGACGAGGCGGTGAGCCAGTCCGCACCAGACTCAATGGCCCTACACCCGGTGCCGGAGTCAACGGTGTTGATGATGCCTGTACCCTCTGGCGCTCCGAAGCCGGACGCGGCTCTACCACCGGTGCGGGGGGAGCCAGTGCTTGCTGGACGGAAGCGTCCTGGGTCTTGCGGGGTCTTTTATGTCCCGGAGACAGGGAACGGCACCGAGGGGCTTGCGGCGGACGCGGTGCCGAAGGAGGACGGTGCCGTGGGGCCTTATCCGCGTCTGCTTGCAGTGCAGTACCGGAGGGTGCCGCTGGGGCGCTGTGCACCGAGGCGCTTGGTGCTGGAACTTGGCGCGCCAAAGGAGGATCTGGGCTAAGTGCCGCCTCCATAAGGAGCTGCTTAAGTCTAAAGTCCCGCTCCTTTTTGGTCCTGGGCCTGAAAGCCTTGCAGATCTTACACTTGTCCGTCTGGTGAGACTCCCCTAAACACTTCAGACAAGAGTCGTGAGGGTCTCCCGTTGGCATAGGCTTAGCACAGATCGCGCACGGCTTAAAGCCAGGAGCCTTGGGCATGAGCCCGGCTGCGCGCCGGGGGGAAAAGGGGGGATAATAGCCCCCTTAACCCCCGCTAACTATTTATAACAACTCTACAAACTAATAACAACAAACTACTAATCTAAAGAATATAACCAACAACTATCTACAAGAACTAACGAGTAAAGCTAGGGAGAGTGGAGAACATCTATGCCACACTCCACAGTTCCAACGACCGTCACGGGCGGTAAGAAGGAACTGAGGGGGTGCTGGGTCGGCTGGGGTATATATCCAGCGCCATGAAGGCGCCACTCCAGGGGGCTCCACAGCCGACCCACCGGGTGTTGCTAGGGTAGAAAATTCTCCGACGATCGTGCACGTAGCGCGCACAAAACCTAATTGGAATCGATATGAGCAAGCACTCGAAGAAGAACAGCCGATGACGCGATCAAAAGGAAAATGCTGAAAGGAGGGAGGTCAGGCCAGTGGACATGGCTGGTTACTCAGTCATGTCCAGGGCTATCTGTGACCCACTGAAAGAGAACAGAATAGGATGAGGATACTTCCCAAATGCCAAGGAACGAGATGTGATAAAATGGCAACGGACAGCCAGAAGGATGCTGCAGAACTCCTGTTTATTGTGCCCCACAAGGGAACCAGGAGGAGACGCAGAAACAGCAGAAAAGCCCTGGGAAGAGCTGATCTTTCTGATGCCACGTATGAATAGAGAAAGATGAAAGCTGAAGCTGCAGGCCAAGTGGTGCCATTGGCTGAGAGAGGAGGGTTTGGGATTTCTGGGGCACCAGAACGCCTCACTTGCTGCGATGAGAAGCAGACGTTTGGATTAGGGTCTCCACCTGAGCAGATAGACCCTGGGGTCGAGAAGTTCCAGGGCTTATTAGGCACACTTTAGCTTTCTCTTAGCTAAAATCTGCCCTGAGCATCCAGTCTGAATAATGCTAAAGAAGCCAGCAATGTTCTGTAGCAAAGGGTCAGTAAAAGGGATATTAAAGGGGTAGTAAATGCACCTCAGCTTCTCTGCACAGATAGAAGGAATGTGGGAAGTAAGCTCACTGGAGCTGGAAGTGATAGCAAAGTACGGGGCGTGTGGCCTAGCAGATGTTCCTGACATTGGGAGAGGTGGGTGTGCCAGACAGACTGTTAGTCCTGATGAGTGCAAAACATACCCAGGAGAGTCAGAAAGGGAAGGAGAGGTGAAGGGGTGGCTCTCTGGAGCTACATTGGGCCTGGCCTTGTGAAGGTACACAAGATGATGTATGGAATGTAAGGAGCCTTTTCCCACCTTGCGGTCCTTGACAGGGGCCAGATCTTTGCTCGTCTTTATGCTCTCTTAGCACAAGGAGCCACAAAGAGACAGTTATCAAGAGAAATCAGCAGCAGGCAGTGGACCTGGGATCTCCTGCACCAAAGCACAGGCCTCTACTCTTTTATCTCAAGTGGTAACTCTGTTTTCCAGTAGTAGTAATAGGCTCTTCTCCTCTCTGTGGAGAGGAGGCCAGGACACATTTAGCCAGCCTGTTACACAAAAATAAAGATAGAGAGAGATGGAATCAAGATGGGGTGAGATGGAATAGCCCAGCCACTAAGTTGTTTTTTTACATCAGTCTTTAAACAAAGAAAATAAAGGAAAAGGCTGAGGACAAGTAGGAGGTAAAGTAATGCAGACCTTGTCAATAGAGCTTCAGATAAAAAGCAGGAAAGGGAACAGTTGATAAAATTGACTCTGTACAAACCGGGAGGCCTGGTTATTATGTAACCCAGGGATTTAATAGAATTAGCTAATGAATTTACTGAACCACTGGGACTTACTCAAAAAAAGTCATGAAGAACGAGGCATAGACCAGATTTATTTAATGTCTTTATTAATGATCTGGAAGCAAGAGTAAACAACCCCTTGATTAAATTCTCAGATGATACTAAGTTGGAAGGTGTTGCGAGCACTCCCAAAGACAGGGAAATTGCACAAAGGGTCCTAACGAAGTTAGCAATAAACTGAATGAGATTGAACAGTGAAAAACATCTGGGTGGAAACAATCTGAAATACAGCTATTCAATGGGAAGGAGACCACTGGAAGGTGGCAATGCTATGCAAGATCTAGGAGCGATAACGGGAAGCAAGGGGAACATGAGCTTCCCAGGAGATACAGTAGCAAAGACTGCCAATGCAGTTTGAGGTGTATATCCAGAGGCATCACATCGCTGGCCAAGGGAGCAGTTGCCTTAGAATACCGGTGAGGCTACAGCTACAATGATCCTTCCTCTTCTGTGGGCTTGTCATATCTCCTATCTGCTCCCTCCACATTCTATATTTTGCTGCTGGCAATATGCTCTCCCACTGCTCTGACTGAGCATGCCTCGGAACTGCAGTGGCTCCTAATCCCCTGTTGCATCAGAGTCAAGCTGCTTGTCCTTACATTCAAGGCTCTTCACATCTCTGCCTCTTATCTGCCTTCCTCCATCTCCTCCCACATCCCTGCCTATTCCCTGTGCTGCACCCAAGATGAGCAAAGGAAAATTTACCATAAATCAAAATGGCTGAGGTCTGAGGAATAGCCTCCAAGGGGAAGTGGTAAAAGCTCCATTGTCGGATCCGTTTCAAAACAAAAGATGAGATGAGCCACATACCTGCATCTAAACTTTCCCTTAGGTCGGGGATGTTTGGATCTGGGGCTCTTGTTTGGGTCCATCTCTGTTTAAAATGTGACTGGATGAAGCTCCAGAGTGTAATCATGATGCAGAAAATATGAAGCCTATTAATAACAATAACATTAGAGACATCCAGACATTAGACATAGGCCAAAATCTTGGTTAAACTTAGGCCTACACCTTAAAACACGTCAAACAGCAAATGCAGTTTCTGTGTGTCACACAGACGAGATATCGACAGAGTTACTGCCGCAGCCAACTAGCCCGGCTTCACCACAAGCTTTTGCTAAATTGGGAAGTAACTTTCTGTTACCTTTTTCTTCTATTTTATACATTTGTAATGGAAATACAGTAGATCAGGCTAGACTATTTGATATCATATCACCAGGTATAGTATTATTACTAAATAAAGAAAACTGAAAGGTGTCAATTCAGATTTAAGAAACTAGACCAGACAATTAAAGCTATTTAAATTCGGTAACAGACTCCTTCAGTTTGAGGAAGTTTCATTGCCTTGGCAACCTGACCACAAAAGTACTTCAGATACTGTAGTTCAAACCATGCTGTCTATTTTAAATAGGAATGTGATAAATGAGAGATATATAACTCATCTTTAATAAAGATATATACAATGTATTCGTTTTATATTAAAGAACCTAATACAGTCAAATGATATGTTGAGAAGCCAATGTGAAATGTAAATCTTTAAACTTTGACAAGGTTACTGGCCTAGTGAATGGGGGGAAGCAGTAGATGTTTTATATCTTGATTTTAATAAGGCTTTTGACATAGTCCCACATGACATTCTCATAAAAAAACCTAAGGAAATATGGTCTAGATTAAATTATTATAAAGTGGGTGCACAACTGGTTGAAACACCGTATTTAAAGAATAGTTATCAATGGTTTGCTGTCAAATTGGGACGATGTATCTAGTGGGGCTCCACAGGTATCAGTCCTGGGTATGGTACTATTCAATATATTAATTAC